TCTCTCTCTCTTTCTCTCTTTCTCTCTCTCTTTCTCTCTTTATTTCCTTCTAGTAGCAGCCTCCTCATTTTATAAACATACTAGCTAATGTTTTTAAGGATAATGATAATTTTGAAATTATATTCTTTCATGTATTTTCTCTGGACTTTTCTGAATTCTCTTTCTTTTTCTTTCTTTGCATGCTATTTTTGTTGTCTTTGATAGTAGAAGCTTTCTTTAAACAAATGGAGGCAGTCCATCATAGTTGAGGAGGGAGCACTGAAAAGAAAAGTACCCAATTAGGCCTGTTGAATGATGATACCCTATAACATTCACTATAGAAAAATTGTAAAAAGCAAGCTGACTGTTGGTTCAAAGGACACACAACCATCAGACTCTCTGGGTATTATCTCTTTGATCAGTTAATTTTTTTCAAAAAGAGGGAAATATTGTCTCAATTATCATGCTGTTTCTCTGTAGGCACTAATATTCTGTAGATTATCTCTATATGTACTATAGTCTAAAATTATGTTGGCAATCCTTGCTTCCTGTCATCTCTTGTCCTGTCTCCTGATCCTTCTAAAACTATACACATGTATTTAATATCTATATGTAAAAAGAGGTGTTTAGAGAAAGGTAATAAGTTAACTGTGCCTTAAAAATGGGTAAACTGGGCCAGCAGATGGCGTGGTGGTTAAAGGTGCTGAATTCCCACATGGGTGACTACAGTTCGAGGCCTGAACCTGGTGGCTTGCTTCCTCTCTCTCTCTCTCTCTCTCTCTCGTCAAATTAAAATTAAGAAATGTATAAATAGGGAACCAGCAGTTAGTGTAATGGTTATGTCACTGGACTCCCACATAGTGGACCGCAGTTCACGTCCTGGCCCGGTGGCTTAAAATTCACACCAGACGCGTGTGCGTGCATGCCCAAGATCCCGGGAGGAGAATGGAGAAGAAGGGATTGCAGCGTGACCATCCCCTCTGGGGGTGCTTTCTCGCTTTCTGTCTCTATGTCTCTCTCTGTCTGTCTGACGAGCACACGCTCCCTATAGCAAAAACCTCTCCAAAAAAAAAAAAAAAAAGAAATGTATAAATAAATGCAGTTAAATAAAATAATTCTTTAAAAAGTGGGTAAACTTAGGCAAATGTAGATTAACTGGGGAAAAGGGAGTCATGACCTTCTAATAGAAGGAAAGAAGATGGGAAATTCATATTCTGATGCATATAATTGGATGGGCAACCTTGTTCAATTATCTAACTACAAGTTTTTGTAAGAATATTATTTTTTTTCTCCAAGAGAGTAATTTGATTAATCAAATTAAATAGACTATCTTGATTCTTGGAAAGAACTTGTTCCAATATGTGTTATCTTAACACACATAACACATGGCTATTCTATTCATATGAAAAATAATGAATTGATTATATATGGCAATTGTGAAAAATACAATGTAAGAGTAGGTTTTATTGGGAAGAGGAAGAATATAATATCTTTCCTGACAATGTAGCTATATTAGAGATTCTTAATTTTATTGAAGAAAAGATGATGGGTCGATTCAGGTTTATGTGGTTTTCCGGTTGTAGGAAGGGGTGCCATGGAGTCCCTTATAGATACATTTATGAGCTTGAAGGATGGACTTTTTATGACAGTAGTGTATTTCCTAGAAAAAAGCTCATTCGTTTATAGACATATATTAATTAAATATTTGGTTTTTTACTTTTTTTAAAAAAATCTAGAAGAATTATTTATTTATTAATTTTCTTTCTTTCTTTTTTAATTTGACCAGAGAGGGGCAGAGAGAGAGAGTGAGAAGGAAAATGAGAAAGCAAGCTGCTAGGTCTGGGACTTGAACTGCATTTGGCCATGTGGGAATCCAGCACCTTAACCATCACAGCACCTGCCAGCCCCTTAAATATTTGATTTTCAATTTTATGACTTCAACAATTACTTATTTATGACATGAAATTAAATTTTTAAAACAAAATTAGAGTCAACCAGTGGCATGGTAGTTAAGGCAGCTGGGTCCCACATAGCTAACTATACAGATTGAGTTTCAAACCTGATGGCTTGAAAAATTTGCCAGGCGCATGTGAATGCTTGTCCAAAATTCCAAAAGGAGAAATGGGCAGAAGGAATTATGGTGTGACCATCCCTCATGGCGGGGCAGGGTTCACTTTCTGTCTCTCTTGGGCAAGCATATAAGCACTCTGGCAAATTAAAAATAATAATACGTGTATATGTGTGTATATATATGTGTATATGTATGTGTGTGTGTGTATATATATATATATATATATATATATAGGGGTGTGTGTGTATTTTAAAATTGTATGTGATTATTGTATAAAATCTGGGAAATTTCAAACCATAAAATCAAAAGAATTAATCATGTCATTACACCAATATAAGTATTTTAATATTTATTTTAGGTATTGTTCACAAACACACACTAGGGATCTTACTATTTTTTGAGTACACAGTAGTGCACAGTTTCCCCATTTCATTTAGATTTTTTTTTAATTTGAATTTTTATGATGTTATACTGATATTGAGGCCTACATAAAGCACACATTTTGATTTTATACAGCTCAGAGGCATCCACTAATCCTCTCTCTAACCAGAACTGATTAGACGGGTTAGGGAGCTTTGAGAAGGTAGAGGATGGAAGTGCTGAAGGTGGGGGCGGGGGCAGGAGTTGCTGTCATGGATGAGGCTGCCACATTCCTGGTGTGTCTGACCTTGGACTCACTTAACAGAGTCTGGATTCTATTAAAGGAATTTCGTATTTTTCCTTTGCAAGAGTCACCCCCTACCATGACAAATATTTAAAAATGCTTTTTTTAAAAAGTTGGGAAAGCAAACTTTTTCCCAAAAGAAATTTATAGTTCAAATTTACACCAAGTTCTCACTAACTGGAGCAAGCCGGGTTTTCACTAAAGCTTTGACTCTCCTCTGTAAAACATTAGTCACTCCCTTGGAAGAAGCAGTTTTTTTTATAGGCAGTGGGATAAAACAGCCACAGATGTGTGTGTAATATGACGAGCTTTAGAATGTACCTGCAAAGCATTTTTTTTTTTCAATTTGGAGAAGGAAGATGAAAGAAAAAAAATGGGAAGCTAAAATAACAGTGATTCAGTATTAAGGAATTGATAAGTTTTTGAACCATTCAAATCGTGTTTTTTTTCCCCCTTTACTTTATTCTTGGGAAGTTCTTGAGGTTGTGCCAAGTCATTTTCACAGGACAATTTTTAAAGGTATGCACCATTCCCATATGTGACCGGTTGCCTTTTAACTGTGCAGGACTGTCGTGAGGCCTGTGGCCAAAGAGTTTGATCCAGACATGGTCCTAGTTTCCGCTGGATTTGATGCATTAGAAGGCCATACTCCTCCTCTAGGGGGGTACAAAGTGACAGCAAAATGTAAGTATCTCTTTCACGACTTTTGAAATACGATGATACCATAACACCTTTTAGATGTTTAAGGTAGACAACACGCTTAACTATGTCCAGTAACCTTTGGTGAGACATTTGAAAATGATTTTGATAGTGTTTATTGCTTTGTCAGATTCATATCTCTGTAGAAGTTGACCTTTGAGAAAAACTGTTGAACTGCTTTCTTTGTTGGATATGATGAGACAGTTCAGAAACTTTATGTTGTTCAGGAGTCCCATTTTGCATTTAAAGGCAGACCTGATAGGGCTTCTGTTTTAAATACACTGAATGCTTGAGAGGCCCATGAATCTAGAAAAAGTTTCCCAGAGTTTTTGCAAGGAGAATGGAAGTTACAGTTCTGATTTCACTGCATACAGGGAAAAATACTGTTTCTCAGTGATGTTATGCTCTTCCAGGATTGAACATGAAGGTGTAACTCCCCTTTCTTAGAAAGTCTGTACATGTCTATGGGCAACCCTCAGAATCTCCACTAGTCTTCTGCTGTGTTACAAAGATGAACTTTTGGGCTGTGCTGCTTAGCCACCAAACACAAATGAAAAAATGTATTTTGCTTTATATTGCATTTGAAGAACATGACCTAATGGAATCTGATTATAATGAGGCTTTCTTTAAAAATAATAACCTTACTCTCTGTGGAATAAAAAGATATAAGTATAATCCACACATACAAATGCATGCTGGCACTATGGACATCTATTTTAAAAAGAACAACAAGAAAAAAGTTGTAAAAAGAATAGGATCCACTACTGCATATTTTAGGGGGATTTGAAAAGCAAACAAAACAAAAACAACTGAAATAGTTTGAAGTGGGAGAGATGTGTTTGGAGCAACTATGCTGTATTAATTTGAAAAGAACCAAAGAAACAGCATCATGCCAACCTTTGTTTTTAGTTGGCTTCTTATGTGAGAGAGTTTTCTGCACTCTAATTGTTCCAGTAACATTGTTAGGTAGTAGCTATTTTTAACGTCTATTATTTACTCAGGGTTCTTGGTGTCTCATTATGTATTAAAAACATATTAAAACAGGCAACTCTGCAAAGACAAAACATAGTAATAATAATGTTGATAAAACTGAATAGAGAGGTGTTTAATTTATATCAAATATCTTTATGATCCTATTCTTTCTGTTCTTCATGGAACTCTACTCAAATCCAACAAATGTTTTCACTGCAGATAAATCTCATTTAAGTCAAGACTGGTGAATAGCTGAATCTAAAGAAAAACTAAAGTTTGTACCCCAAATTGAGGTAAAAATCAAATGATATAAAACACATAAGAAGCAAAGACAAATCTTAAAAAAAAGTATCCCTTGCCATTAAATCCCAGAATCTCCTTTAGGAAGAAGAAATATCTATCTTCTAGTCTTTCTCTTTGCCAGTGAAGCAAATTGTAACAAGTTCGTTTCTCAGAACTAGCTGGAAGGGACTAATGTTTTTGTTCACTTGTTTGTTCATTTTTAGCCAAATCAAGTTTAAATCTCAAGTGTCATCTTGGAAAGTAAAATAAAATGTAATAGCAGCATGTATTGTTTTTTTTTTGGGGGGGGAGGGTGGAGAAGGGAAGAATTATAGATAGAAGGGACAGAGGTTCTACCACTTTGAGCTTCAGTACAATGCAATAAATCCTTCAATATATTTTTATCCACTTAATGTATAATTTTATCAATTTGTAAAGAACTCTTTGTTGCTTTCTATTCTAGAATAAATTTGTCTACAATCTCTCCAACATATTTTTGCCTACCCGCAACCCCTGCATATATATTGTTTCTTCCCTTGGCTATAATTTTTACGCAAAAGACCATTTGCTTTCTTTCCAGGTGTCTATGTTCCAAGAAAAATAAACAGACATGAATTTTAAGTGATATGATAATTGACCTTTAGAGTGAGGGTTTCAAAATTCAAAAAGTCTATGCTAGAGGCTCTCTCATGTAGGTCATATAGCCCATCGAGGAGGAAATTAATTTAGTTTACCATCTGAAATAATTGTGGTTAAAAATCAAAATGCTTATTCTGAATTTGTAGTTAGGCGACACTGCATAAAGTATTGACTGGACTGATTTTTTTTTTTTTTGGTAAAATGCATGAGAATAGAAAATTTGTACTCATAATCCAGAAGCTGTATTTGTGGCCAAGACTTGTCTCCACAAATAGTCTGTGATAGACACTTACTAGTCCCGTGGTTCCTAAATGAGAAGCAACAGAGCCTTATACCTGAGGTGCTATATATAGATATCACGTAGGCCTGAGCTTGCCGTCATATTTTCCAGATACCTTGCACACTAACTATGTGAGAGCTGGGATGACTTGATAGCTCTATGGTTATCCCTTAAATGGGTCACCAAGCGTGTCTCTGTTTTCTAATCACTTGGCTGATGTTTCATACTGCTTTGGTCTGAAAGTTCTGGACAAGCAATTAATACTAGGCTCTCAGGGCCAGCAGGTGGCATAGTGGTTAAAGCGCTGGACTCCCACATGACCAACTGCAGTTCGAGTCCTGGACCTGGCAATTTGAAACTTATGCCAGCCACATGAGCATGTGTTCCCAAAATGCTGAGAGGAGAATGGAGGAGAAGCATGATTTCTCACTTTCTCTCTCTCTGTTTCTCCAGTGAGTGCTGTGCTCCATAGCAAAAATCTATCTCTATCTTTCTATATCTCATTATTTTATGCCAAAAGTGATCCTCCATTTAGGGCAAGCTCCCAAATGAAACTAGAATTAGGTTAAAATCTCTTCCAACTGGAGTGGCACAGTAGCCTTAGTGCCCTGTGATGAGAGGGTCCTAGTTTGTGAACCAAGTTCTCATCATGATCCTAACTGGCTGAGGTTGAGGATGGACCAGTGAAGACTCTATTGGGGGGCTGTGTCTCTTTCTCTCTCTTTCTTCATCTCTCTCTGTCATGAAATAAATAAATAAGTAAACTTAGAGAAAAAAAAAAAGAAATGGACTAAACTATGAAGTGAAAAAGTAAGATTAAAACCAAATTCCTTTCATAAGATTTTTCAATTCTGGCAAAATGCATTCTTGCTTCAAGTATTGATAGAATATTTGATTATTTTAGAGAGTGGTTTTGAGGATACTACCCCATCAGTGATACTAAAATGATGTTTTATTAGCACATTGAATCAATCTTTTAAAATAATTTCATTTGACATCTCTGAAAAGTGACATCAAGTCAAAACATGTAGGGTTTTTCTTTGTATTGAAATATCTAATTAGCTATATATATATATATATATATATATGTATTAGATATAGATATAGCTATATATATATAGCTAATTAGATATTCCAATATACATATATATTAGATATTTCTATATATAGATGTATGTATATATAGCTAATTAGATATTCCAATATACATATATATTAGGTATTTCTATATATAGATAGATCCTGGCTGGTGCTACTTTTATTCTTCCTCTCTTCTTCTGTCACTTTATACGGTCAGTGTTCTTTGTTATGAAACTACAAAAATACTATCAGGACTGGTTTGTACTGAAATTTTAAAGAAATTACCTAAATTATTTATTTAGAATCCATGCTGTTATTTCAATTAAGATCTTAAGCTAAACCCCAATCTGAAAGTAATAAACACCTTTGCGTCCTGCCCTAAACTGGGCGTTAAATATTACCTTGACATTATCAGTTTATCTTTCTAAATACTCTGATTCAGACCTAATTGTTTTCAGGTTACAGTATAAGAAGGTCGTCATGACAACTAAGTGCCATGTTCAAAAAGTAAAATTGATTCACCATATTGCAGCACCCCCTGGCTTTACAGTGTTGTCACATTTTTTTTTAAAGTCCTTTAGTTTAAATTTATTTTACAACTATATATATATATATATATACTTTCAATACATATATAGACTCTCTATTTTATTGGCAGGCACTGAATTTGTATATGGAAATTGTTTTTATCATGAGTGAGATTGTTTCTTTCTTTGAAATAACGCACCAGTCATTTGGGAGATGATAGCCATGCCTGAGGACAACTATGTTCCTTTTATAAACATGTAAGATACATTTTTTTATAAACATATTACAGTTTGTGAGACAGGAGATATTTCTTTCAGCAAATACACAAATGTTATTTTTGACAAGTAAAGAATAACTAAGAGTTGGGAGAAAAAAATATCAAATATTTCTTACCATCTTCCTGATGGCAAGCCTTACTTCTTTTTGTGAGCCTGTCATTCCTGCCCCCTCCACTCCTGTGCATGTCTATATGACAGGGAGAGAGCACTGTTTGGAGGCAGACACCTACAGAAATAAATTCACATTTACCTTTGTGTTTTCTTTGGGGAAATGCAATTATACCTTGATTAGTCGATTCTCTAAAAATAAATCTAAAAAATATGTAGTGCTAATTCAATTGAAATTCATAAATGGCTAGAAACAAACTTTGTTAAACTTAAGAGGTTCTGTTGGTCTGCTAATTATCTGCTAATAATGCATGTATATGTTGTATTCCCTGTGCACATGGCATAAATTCATGCACATACACACACACACACACACCAAAGAATGTTCAGTTCAGAATGCCTTCCACCTATATGTTTTATTTGTTCACAGAGTTGAGTATAGACTGAACCAGAAGTAAGTACATTGGTGATATTGACTTCTGTTTTTCCTTGTGCTTTTCTCACTGAATGTCAATGGGGGCCAGCAGATGGCATAATGATTACATCGCTGGACTCCAATGTAGTCGACTGTGGTTCAAGTCTCGAACCCAGTGACTTAAAACTTATGCTGGGACATGTGCTTGCATGTACAAAATCCTGCAAGGAGAATGGAGGAGAAGGGATTGCCACATGACCATACCCCTGGGGGGTGATTTCTTGCTTTCTGTCTCTCCATCTCTCTGGCGTACGCATGCACTCTAAAGCAAAAATATCAATGGCTGTCATAAGTCTCTACTTTTGCCCACACTGTCAAAACCTATAATAAACTTGATGCATTT